CTTATTTTGTTGAAGGGGAAGGATGCGTCTTTGGTGTGAAGCTTTGTTTTTTTTTCTGGTCTAACTGTGTCCACACTGAGAGCACTTTGAGGAGAGAATACACTGATAAATCACCATTAGACATTACACCTGATTCCTCCACAGACACACTGGAGAACCATCTGAATTATGGCTATCTGAAGTCACAGCTTCTGAGCCCACAGGAAGGTAGGAATGCATGGGCTCCACCAGTAACTGTCCACTACTCCTGACCTATTCCTGGAAAGTGGTTGCTGCAGGGAGACCCTTTTGGCTCAGTCCCCAGTTACAGCAGATATCAGAGCAGATGGGAGCCCCTGTACCTGCAAGATCCATAGTGGACCTTACATCAGTAGGGATTCAGGCATAGCAGAGTTCCAGTTCCAGCACTCCTGGGCTCCGCTACTGGAACAGAACCACTTCCACTAGCTTTCCACCAAGGTCCTAGCCTTAATGGACTACAAAATCCAGCACCAAGAATGAGCAAAAATGTATGGACACAGAATATTCTATTCCAGGGGTAGGCAACCCCCGGCACAGGTGTCAGAGTGTAGCACACGAAGGCATTTTGCTTAGCATGGGCACCTTGAGGTGGAAGGCAGGGGAGCAGGGAAGAGGTTGGGGCTGCACTGCCACAACAAGGATCAGGCCCCTTGGTGCTCCTCCACCATCCACCCCGGCATTTCAACATCTTACAAGCCAAGTTTGCGGGTGTTTTTGGCACGCTGTCCAAAAACATTGCCGACCCCCGTTCATAGAATTATAGAATCATAGAAGTAGGGTCGGAAGGGACCTTGTAGATCTTCAGGTCCGACCCCCTGCCTGGGCAGGAGGAAAACTGGGCTCAAATGACCCCAGCCAGGTAGGCATCAAGCTGCTTCTTAAAGCCCCCCAGGGTAGGAGCCAGCACCACTTCCCTTGGAAGTCAGTTCCAGATCCTAGCCACACTAACTGTGAAGTAGTTCCTACGGATGTCTAATCTAAACCTACTCTCCAACAACTTGTGGCTGTTATTCCTTGTTATCCCGGGGGGCGCTAGGGGAAACAAGATCTCCCCCAAACCCTTCTGGTCCCCCCTAGTGAGTTTATAGACAGTCACCAGGTCCCCCCTCAGCCTTCTCTTGTGAAGGCTGAACAGGTTCAGGTCCCGTAGCCTCTCATTGTAGGGTCTGCCCTGCTGCACCCCAGATCATGCGGGTGGCCCTCCTCTGGACCCTCTCAATGTTGTCCACATCCCTCTTGAAGTGGGGTGCCCAGAACTGGACACAGTACTCCAGCTGCGGCCTGACCAGTGTCACATAGAGGGGGAGGATCACCTCCTTGGACCTTCTTGAGATGCACCTGTGGATGCTCGATAGGGTCCGGTTAGCCCTGCCGACCGTGACCTCGCATTGTCAGCCCATGTTCATCTTGGAATCAATGATGACTCCGAGATCCCTTTCTGCCTCCGGGCTCTCAAGAAGGGAGTTTTCCATCTTATAAGCGTGCTGCCAGTTACTACTGCCCAAGTACAGCACCCTGCACTTGTCAGTATTGAAACGCATCCTGTTTTTGTTAGCCCACCCCTGCAACCTATCCAGGTCTTCCTGCAGTCTTTCCCTCCCTGCTAACGTGCCCACCTCACCCCAGGTTCTATTCTAATCAAATTCATTTCCATCATGTATTGTCCAGGGAAGGTATCAGATGATAATGCATCATACAGTAACTCAGACAGACCTAATAACCTATTTAAAATTCTAACTATCTTTCTGAAACTCTGGCACTCCCATGAAACACTGTTTCTTCTAGCTTTTAGTTGCAACACCTGCCATCAATTCCATTTCAGAGTCACTAGAAAAGAGGAGACCTTTACAAAATGTACAGAATTTGTCACAGAAGGCAACCACTTGAACAACAACAACTAAAAGATTTAGGCAAATTGTTTTCTAATACATTTGTGAATTTCCCTTCTTTTAAAAAAATTATTTTTTTGTTGTTCACTAAAGTAACATATTTAACAGCCTCCTATTGTGTATAATAGAATAATTGCTACTTAAATTTAATCTGCTTATTATTTAAAATAGCTCTTGGGTAATCTAATATGGTTTCTCCTTTGGCTAATATTTATCTTCCTTGCAAATCTTTACTTTGGGAATATTTTCCACTGTGCTGAAGACATCAAACATATATTGCCTTATACTCAGGGGGAAAAAAATCTAAACTTGCTGATCACATTAACCCAGACTTTGCAATCTGATTTCCTGTAGAAGCTCAACCCCTACTAATGGTTTTAAAAAAAAATCATTAACATAAGGCCAATTATGTAACCACATGTTTTCTGAGAAGCAACAATAAAGAAAACAGACAGGCTTAACAGAAGCACTTCAGTTTTGTACTGTCTTCCACACTGTCTCTTTAAAACTCAGATTTAGTGTACGATTAAAAACTACAGTTCTGAACTGGAGTTCCTCCATGGGGTTTAAATGGACTCCCTCCTAATTAGAAGCGTTGAGAGAAAAATGAGATCCCATTCTTGAGACACTATTTCTTTTGCTAGTTTCAAGTCTGTGAACACAGCAGCTGGCAGAGTTCTACTCACTTGGAGAGTTTTGAATATGAGATACTGGTACAACCTGTTTCAACCCACTTTTTACCACCAGTCTCCTGCTAAGAGAATGCCACAAAGCAAACGAACAGCAGTCAAGCGCATATAAAAATAAAAGAATAAGCACTAATATTTTTGGGAGTTACAAACGAAGCTATTTGCCCTTTGGATTTCTAATACAAAAACAGCTTTGTGAACAACTGCCAAACTAGTCCTCAATTTTGAAAGATATAAAAAGTCTCCTACCTTCTGTTGGGTTTCTATCATACAAGTGTTCTAAGACTGTGTCAGCAGCCTAAATTCTTGCATCCATTGTCCATTTCACAAACCAGATACACTGAAGAGAGACTCTTTCTACCAGTACAAGCCACCCCATCCCAGTCCATTTGCGAAAAAGGCCATCTCCTCCATCTCACGAGTATTTAATATACTGTTAAAGAAACTCAAGTTCCTTGTACAACAGTGCTTGATTTCTGCACTAGCCATATGCCAACTTACATTGGAAGTAACCTGATCTGTCTTCTAGGGATAATTACTGATCAGTAGGGATCCTGGTTTTCTCTGATAAAAAATCCCCAATTTTAAGATTTGAAAAAGTAACCCAAAATCCACATTTTCCATGATTAAAATGAAATGCCACTAATATGCAGATATATATTTAGTGGCGTTTCATTTTAATCATGAGAAAATGTGGATTTGGGTTACTTTTTTTAATCTGAAAAGTGGAGATTTTTTTTTTTTAATCAGAGAAAACCAGAATCCCTGCTGATCAGTGTGTCATTAAAAACTGCATTTTCTGATATACAACCCACAATGAACAACCAGCAGACAGTACATGTTAATGCTTTGCAGATCGCTACTAGACCGCAGAGGCATTGGAATGTCGATGAAACTGAAGGTCTACAAAACCGTCATTCTGCCAACCCCACTTTACGCCTGCAAAACCTGGACTGTCAACCAGCATCATGCCAAAAAACTAAACCACTTCCACCTGTGCTGCCTTCAAAAGATACAAAAAAATCAAGCACCAGAACAAGATCTTGGACACCGAGGTGCTTGGAAAATCAGCTCTCCCCAGTATTCATGCTCTACTGAAATTGGCAGAGCTGAAATGGGCCAGCCACCCTTCATGAATGCCCGACACTAGCCTGCCAAAGAAAATTTTCTACAGCAAACTGTCAAATGGAGTACGCTTTTGCAGCGCACCAAAGAAGTGGTACAAGGACACCCTAAAGGTGTCCCTAAAGAGTTTTGGCATTAACCCAGGGTTGTGGGAGCAAATCGTTCGTGACCGTCCATTCTGGAGGTAATCAATCCAGAATAGAGCCCTGGCCTTTGAACAGCAACACACGGCAGAAGCAATGAAGGAATGCGTGGCCAGGAAAACAAAAACTTCTTATACCCAGTCCTCACTGCTCTCCTGCCCCTGCAGCAGCAGACTGTTCAAGGCAAAGATCGGGCTTATAAGCCACCTATGTACTCACGTGGCCTAGTCCCCACCCCCTCCTTTCTCTTTCCTCTTTTTGTCTTTTTCCTTTTTCTCTCCTTTCTCTTTTCTCCCTCCCTTTTTTCTTTTCCACATCTTTTCTCTCTTCTCCCCCACCCCACAGCTGGATGCAATCGTCTTTGCTTGCAAAGGACAACACACTAGAAAACGTATGGGAGGACAAACTGGAGACTCTCTGTGAGCATCCATTCACAATACTTTAGCTTGATATGCAATACTAAATAAATATTTTATTCCATAGCTTTATTCCACTAAACCAATGATTTGATCTTATTGTGGTAGCAGGCAACCAGAACAAGGGAATGAAGAGCCATACCCATATTTATACGTCTTCTTGGAGTCAATTCTGATCAGTGGTAAAAAAGTAACACCCTCAGCACATCTGAAAAGTTTTGGTTTTTTTACCAAAACTATTCAGATTATATTTTATTTACCCATCCCTCTCCCATTTTCTTCTCCATTTTTCCTTCTTTGCCATCAGAAAGGACATGGAAGAAAGAGAGGGGAAGAAACGAGGGAGGGGGGGAACCTGGAGGTGGGAAAGGGATATAACAGCAGCTTTTATTGTTCATCAAAAAGATGATTTATTTTTAAAAAGGAGGAATTGTGAAGTCTCCCCCCCGCCCCCCACCCCATTTTGTTTAGAAGAGGCTATTTTTCAGTTGACACATTACAATTTATGATAAATGAGCTGTGGGTAAAGGAGCCTGGGTATAATCAAGGCACGGGTCAAGTGTTCTTCCAATTTAATATACAAAGCAAGTACGTGGAAAAATGGCCAGGATACATTCAGTATCAAGGATGGCATCACTACATTTTCTCCTCTAGGAAGGCTCTACATCTGCAGAGCCAAACAGCAGAAATATTAAGCATCCCCAAGTCAAAACTAACCTGGGTAACAAAAGCCATCTTTCTGTCTTCACCCTTATGAACATCAAAGCATAACAAAGTTGCTGCTTTCCTCTCCCACTACAGTTTTGGAAGATAATAAATAAGATTATTAATGGTGGTATGAACAGCATGTCATATCAATTCCACAAAAACCTTTTCTACTTAATACCAGTTTTCTACAAGTCTGATGAAAATCATGCACACAGAGTCTCAAATTAATCATCTCATCTCTAATACAAATACACAGCTTGGCCTGTAGTCAAGCATCTTCTAGGAAATGATATAACACTGGACTGCAGAACCCTATGCAGGGAAGCTCCTGTACGAATCCAAAGTAGGTAGCCTTACCACCATTATGCTATAAATTCCATTCCGTGTAAACTGTCAGCTAAGGTCTATCAAGCACGTCCACGTATCTCACATCTAAGGTCTAATTCCATCTTCATGAATGTTGATGGACCCCTTTCATGCCATCACACTGTAGCAAAATGAAAAAGTCATGCAGTTATTCAAAAGCTTATGGCAGCAGTTCCCAAATAGGGTTGCAACTTCAGTGGTTGGGGTCGCAAGATTTCTGCAGCCACAGTGGGTCGAGGGGCCGCAATGGGGCTGAACCAGCTCCAGGCAGGAGCCACCTCTGCAGCCCAGCGGGCAGGACCCAGCGCAGGAGGTAGTGCCACACCATCATGGCTGCTAAGGTGAGCTGCAGCAGTGGCGCAGAATTGTGCCCTCACTGCTGCAGGGCAGGCAGGGGGCACCTCAGCTTGGCAGCCATGGTGGCACAGTGCTCCCACCCATGCCAGGTCCTGCCCACTGGGCAGCAGGGCAGGGAGCACAAGCCCAAAGCAGGCAGCTTGCAGGTTGGGAGGGAGAGGTAGCACAAGGCCATAGCAGGCAGCTTGCAGGTTGGGAGGGAGAGGCACTGGCAGGATCACGGTGCTGCAGGTCAGGAGTCAGGGGTCATGCTGAGGAAGTTTGGAAAGTTGTGGATTATGGTGAAATGAATAAAAAGGAAGTTGCTCCAGATAGAATCAAATAGCTTCAAGTTGTCCCATATTCATCTTTAATAGGCAATGCAGACTAGATAGAGCCCTGAAATGGTAACCAGAAAATCTCAGTTCTTTTACTACTAGTAGTGCTTCTAAATGATTCAGTTTCTGCAGCTCTAAAAGGGAGATAGTGATGCTGACCTCCTTCATAAAGCAATGAGATCAACTGATGAAAAGTACCAGAAACTAAGCATTGTTTTTCCTCTTGGAGTGAATTTCTGTTCACAAAAGACATTACAGAAAGAAGTAATATATATAATTTAAACATGGACTATTGTGTTAGCCAGAATGAGACATCCCTTGGTATTACACTTCTGTGTTGCTAACTGTTGCTGAATCAGCTGTTTTATTTAAAGCTCCATGTCCCAAACCCAACTGATTACATAAAGAGCTTAGGTCTAATTTATAAAATAAACTTACAGCTCCCTGTGGTTACAGAGAAAAAGTTTGGAGTTGTGGCCCAAGTGCGGCTTAAAGGCTTAGAAGACAGAAGGAAAATAAAAAGTCTCATGACTTTTTATGTCACTCTCACGATTTCTTAATATTCAGATCAAAAATGTGTTCTCAGGAACCTCTGCAAAGGAAATGTTGAGACACCTCTCTCACCTGAGTCTCAGAGGTGCTGAGAAATCCCCAATCCCACCAAAGTCAACAGGAGCTACAGGGGCACAACGCCTCTAAAACACCAGTCGCTGGCTTTCAACAGAGATAACTATAGCACAGCAATTCTCAACCAGGGTGCCAGGGCACCCTGAGGTGCTGCCACATCCTCTGAAAGGTGACATGTCAGGAGATCAGTAGATAAGCTAAGCAGATAAGCACAGGCTCAGGCTTTTCCCTATCTGAACAACCCTCTACCCCCACTGCCTGGCGTCTCTGCATGGAGATAAGCACTGCAATATACATATTTGTTTTTGAAATTGGGTGCCACTCAATTCACAAAAGTTATGGAGGGGTTCCTCAAGTCCAAAACAGATGAGAACCACTGCTGTAGCAAGAGTTAGGAAATAGGACTTAAAGTGCTTGGGAAAATAACACAGTGACATTTTTTGAAAATATAATCCTTTCTAAAAGGGTAATACTTGAAGGCACATCTCAAAATTTTCAGTTGAGACATTGACATGAATAGTTCAAAAGCTCCTACTGACGCACTAGGTGACAGAACCACAGGAGCCATGGTTAAAAAAATCGACATTTTCCAAGAGATATCCCAGCTATTTTTTAATTGCAGGGATAACCCGTAGTAGCCGCAATGCTTTTGCTGGCAGCTCTTGACTTTTTAACACAAATTGCAGTACAAAGGGAATTCCTCCAGTCAGCAATGCCAGTGGTAGCCAAATACCACATCTGGCAAGTAACAACATATAGCAAAGCCTTAACACTGGTGTGCATGTAAACAGTACATTCCCTAGAGACACAAATGGAATATTTTCAAAGCAAACAGCTCAAAGGTTTTTGTCACTGAAGATGTCAGAAGGAAACAGTGATCTGCCATTCATTTTCAGCACTTCCCGACTATTTACGTAGAAGCTTCTGGAACTAGGAGGAACCACAGCCCGCACAACCATCTTTCCCAGAGATAGGGAAGACAGCTTCTGGGGAAGAAATTGCCCTGATCTGAACAGTCATCTACATTTTGCATCTCCCACCTACCCTTTTCTTCTTTTGAAACGTCCAAACTCATTAAAATCAGAACCAGAACTGTAGTTAGAGAAACAAGAACTAAAATATGGGAAGAGAGTCTGTTCCTGCTACTGTGGTAGAAACCTCAGAAGTAAGCCTATTCTCACACAGTTTCCAGCCCACATCCAAAAGGCATTGGATAAAGGGAACTCCTGAATGATAATCTTTTAGGGTTCGTTTATCCAATTCAATTTTTATAACACCCCTCTTTAAAATCCCAAGCATTTCCCAGAGATGTCACTGCTACAAACCAGCAACAACTCTGACTTACACCAGTGGTGCTCAACCTTTTTGCTAGGTGGTCCAGATGGGCAGTGCCCAGTCCCTCCACGGGCCAGATCTTGCCAGTGGTCCCAGAGATGGATGTGGGGGGAAGTCCAGCACATATTCAGCCATGCAGGGGAAGGGGGCTTGGCCTGGCCCCAACTCAGCCCTGCAGGGGGAAGGAGGCATGGCTCAGCCTGGCCCCATGGGGCGGGGGGGGGGAGGGGACATGGCCAGGCCCAGTCCAGCCCTGCAGGAGGAAGGGAGCATGGTCCAGCCCTAACCTGGCGGGGCAGAGGGAAAGGGGCATGGCCCAGGACCAGAGCCATCCCTAGGGGTGTGTGGGGTCTGGGACATATCAGCAAAGTGGGGAAGTGGGAAGGGAGGTTGGCAAGCAGTCAGAGCTGGCAGCGCTCGGCGGCAGCAACAGAGCCAGAGGCGCTCGGCAATGGTGGCACATGGCAGCCGCGGTAGGACCTATACGGCACTGACCGCGGGGCCCCCAAAGCATAGGGCCCGGGGCAGTTGCCCTGATCTGTCCCACCCTAGAGATGGCCCTGTCCAGAACCACTGGGGAGAGGAGGCATGGCCTAGCCCCACAGGGGGAAGGGAGTGCAACCTAGCCCCAACTCTGCAGTGTGGAGGGCAGGGGGGCATGACCTGGTCCCGATGTAGCCGCACAGGGAGAGGGCATGGCTAGGCCTGGCACCAACCTGCTGCACGATGCTTGGGATTTTGATAGAATGGAGGGGTAGCAGTATTAACTGCCACTGCTTGCCTGCTGCCAAATTTCCCAACTCACCAGCCAAATCTCAAGGCTCCGTGGGCTGCATTTGCCCATGGGCCAGGGTTACAGCTCTCTGCCTCCCATTTGTGTTAGCAGCCATATTTTCAAGGGGTGGCCTCCCTGAAATCATCCACTCTTTGACTTGCCTGATATTATATTACTTCAGGGAACTGTGCATAGAAGGGAAGGTTTATCACTCTCTAGGGAACAGGCTATGGAGTAACTGTCCCTGGGCAAGGAGGCAAGCAACTATCTGAGGCAGAGGCAAAGTAACTGCTTCAAGAAGACAATAAATGTAAACAAAGGAAAACTTGCTGTGGCTTTTGATAAAATCCCACAGATATTTCGAAAGGAATAGGAGGAGGTAAAGGAGCACAAACGATGCAGATCCTATGGTTAATTTGAGAGGCAGTAGGCGTGTCTACATGTACAATTAATACACATGTGCTTGGGACCCATTCCAATCTCTACAGGGCTAGGAGGCAGCTGCCCGTTAGCTGGGACAGCTTTCCCCACCTCGTGGAGATCAAGATCCATCCCAATATCCACATGGCTGGCAGGCAGTGTTCCACCAAGCCAAGACAGCTCTCCCCACCTCGCACCCCATCCCTATGGCTCCTTGCTGCCTACGTTGATCAGGAGCAATTTGCTCCCAGTCAGCATCTGCACATGTATTTTGGTTCATTAGTTTAATTCACCAATTTCTAGTACCTGTATCTACCAATTTCTTAAACCACGTGCATGGACAGGCACCCTCTTCTCACCCCCTACCACTACACTGGGAGGCATGGACAGTGCCCCCCTCAGACCACCGGCCCTAGGCTCCCCTACTTCACCATGCTGTGGGTTTCCCAAGGATCATGCGCTACACTGCCTGACTCCACCTTCTGAGGAGGCCATAGGAAGCAGAAACTGGAAGAAGTATTGACAGTCCAGAGATCCTGGCTGCAGAAGTCAGAGCAATAGTGGGAGTGGCAGCCTGGTAGGAGTTTAGAGATCACAGTTATACCCTTCCTGGGCAGCTTGCAGCCCTTAGGCTCCCAGTTGGGCAACTGGCCTTAAACCAAAAAGCTTTGTTGGGCCAAATCCTCACTGCATTGTTGAGATAAAGCATGGGCAATTTCATCCCAGAAGAGAGGTGTTGGGAACATCTAGTCCAGGGGTTGGGAACCTCCAGCACGGGTGCCAGAGTGTGGCACGCAAAGGCATTTTGCTGACACGCATGCCTGAGGGCAGATGGCAGGGAAGGGGCCAGGGCTGCACTGCCTCAACAAGGATTGGGCACCTCGTGGCTCACCCCCCATACACCCTAGGCATGCCAACATCTTATAAGTCAAGGTTGTAGGTTTTTTTGACACTCTGCCCAAAAACATTGCTAACCCCTGATCTAGTCCCAAGGGAAGTAGTAGTTAAAGAAAATCAAAGTGAAGCAGGGTCTGGTACACTTTTACATGAAATGTACTCCAGCAAGACTGGTTAAAGTGAAGAAACTCAAGGTGGACATCCAAACCAAGATTATGTTTCCATAACCACATGCAAGAATTTCTTTTGGCTTCCCAGTTCTCAATAAATGTTGCTATCTGCTCTCTTAAGCTAGTAGTTCAACTTTACTCAGCACATCCCAAATATTCATTGTTACGTTATTTTTTTTGCCAGCCCTTTTCTTTAAGCACCTGAATGCATTTTTCCACTCAA